GTGATTTGATCTTTTGGAGGGCCAGAGACTGAGGCAGATATCCCCAGACACTTCGAATTGACAGACCTCTACAACTCTGTCACTCTAGTGACTTAGATGATAACTCATTTGTGTGTTTGTGTATATTTGCTTGCTTTAACCTGTAAATAACTCTTATTTCTTTTTCCTAGTTTAATAAACCTTTAGATAGTTTATTACTGGATTGGTTACAGGCATTGTCTATGGCACAGCAACGTTTGGCACACGGCTCGCCAGGGTAAGCGCCTTGGCGGGCCGGGCCAGTTTATTTACCTGCTGACGCGGCAGGTTCAGCCGATCTGGGCTCCCACGGGCCGCTGTTTGCCATCCCGGGTCAATGGGGGCGGCGGGAAGCTGCGGCCAGCCACTCGCTCGCCCTGGCCACTTCTCGGCGCCCCAATTGGCCCGGGACGGCGAACTGCGGCCAGTGGGAGCCGCGATCGGCCGAACCTGCCGCGTCAGCAGGTAAATAAACTGGCCCGGCCCGCCAGGGTGCTTACCATGGCGAGCCGTGTGCCAAACGTTGCCGACACCTGGTCTATGGTGTAAGCTCCTTGGTTCCAATTGATCTGGGGTAAGTGACTGGTCTCTTGGGAATGGAAGCAACCTGAATATTGTGTGAGATTTTTTTTTTTTTCTGTGACCATTTATCACTGAATCCAGCTTGCCTGGGTGGCAAGATAAACTGGAAAGTATAAGGGGACTGTCTGTGACTCCATGGTAATACTGTTACACCAGGAGTTCACATTTGTTACTGGGTTGGTGAAATCGAATTATAGAACACACCACTAGTCTGCCCTGTTTTTGACAGTCTGCCCTGCGGTAGGCACTTGTGAGCTGCTCCAGACAGGGTGACATGCGTTGCCAGGATATGTTGTGAAGGTCAAAAATATAACTAGGTTCAAAAAATAACTAGTTAAGTTCATGGAGGATAGCTCCATCAATGGCTATTAGCCAAGATTGTCAGGGACACAACCCCATGCTCTGGGTATCCCTAAGCTTCTGACTTCCAGATGCTGGGACTGGATGACAGGGGATAGATCACTCGATAATTGCCCTGTTTTGTTCATTACCTCTGAAGCACCTGGCACTGGCCACTGTCGGAAGACAGGATACTGGGCTATATGGACCATTGGTCTGACCCAGTATGGCCGTTGTTATGTTCTTATGAGATCCTTGTGTACAAAAAGATCTATAAAAATACAAATTACAGTGTGGACGCTTGTAATTTTTGTTCTGCTCTGTGTTGAACTGCTTTGAGAAAGACGATACTGATTTTTTTTTTGTCGTAGTAAAACGTAATGGCTGCAGCTGTGTTTACCTGTAGTATAATCCTAGTGTTTATCTCTTCAGTGAAGGCAGGTAAGTTGATCAGATGGTTTCCTAATTACCTCCTCTGAAATGCACTCTTTTACACATACATGTATTAAAGTAACTTACTTCTCAGATACCTGAAAACAGCTATTTAAGAACAGAGATGTAGTAACCAGTAGTGATGCTAGTCTGAACTCTGTATTTAGGGTGTGCTGTATTTTCGTTATAAAACGGTGTGGCTTTTATTTTTGTGATCTTAAGTTGCCCTGGTGTGAAGTTTCAGTGCATTATGTATGCTTTCCACACATAGGCATTTTTAAATGGGCACTGGAAAAAGTATTGAATATCCTAAATCTGACACACATTTGACATTTTCAGTGTGGAGAATTCTCAAGACCTATATCGGTAAATCTTTCAGTGTCTGTGTATAATCCTACTATGTATACACCTTATTGTTCCAGATCTGGGAAGGGTTAGGCTGACAAATTATTTTACAATCTCAAGGCCCCATGTATCTGTTGATTCCATGCTGCAGTTGACAGCAAAGCAGCAGAAAGCTCATACAAGCAGGGGACAGAGTAGCAGAAGTTGGAAGTGACAGCCCCATAACATTCTCCTTGTTTCCCACCCTCCCCCAATGTGCAGACTTGGTGAATGTAGAAGGACCTTTGTAGCAATATTTTGTGATCAGGTTTCTGCACATTGGGATGGAAAAAGTCAGGTAGAGAATAATTACTGTTTCCTGGAAGCTGGCATGCTCCTCTTGCATTCAGCGTATTTCAGAGTGAGAGTTGATGCTGGCTAAACTAGTCATTTATTGCTTGGTCTAATGGAACAATTGAAGACTGGACAGTACTGCTACAAAACAATGTAGGGTGAGATTTTCCAAAAGTACTCTATTAGCCTAACTCTACTCTCATCAAAGCCAATGGTAAGCTCCCGTTAACTTCAGTGAGAGCAGAGGTAAGTTGCTATTTAATCCTTTTGAAATTCCACCTCAGTGCAAAAAGGGAGGTGAAACAAAATATACAATCTAAACTCAGTGTGGGGCATTCTAGACAGGCAAAATATAATTACCGGTACTTAAACTGGAATTTGGCTCTGACATTAGGGTGACCAGATGTACTGATTTTATAGGGACAGTCCTGATTTTTGGGTCTTTTTCTTATATAGGTTCCTATTACCCCCCCACCCTCGTCCCAATTTTTCACATTTGCTGTCTGGTCACCCTATCTGACATTGAAGCTGACAATTTTTAATGATATTCTCTAATTCCTTCACATAAAATAGTCAGATTTCACATTGCTGGGGAGCTCTGTGACTTCTTTGTGATTAGAATTTCACTAACAGAATTTTTGTGTATAGTTATAGGATATCATTTAGTTTATAGATGCTGGAGTTGCCTGTCCCACAAGAGTATTTAAGGATGAATATTGAAAACCTATTAAAGAAATAGACAAATTTGTCTCCAGAGTTCTATACTCATGTCTTTTTTTATTTTTTTTATTTTGTCTCTATCATGTTTTTTAGAGGAATGCATGGTACATGATGTGCTGCATAGTCAAAGTTTGATATCTGTACTGGTAGGAGAACCTCTTACTATTGATTGTTTGTTAGATAAAACACTGGCTCTTCAGCACATGAATTACAGCTTGACTTGGTATAAAAGTGGGAGCAAAATGCCTGTAACTCAAGTGAAACTTTCCAGAATACATCAGCACAAGAACTTGCTTTGGTTTATGCCTGCAATTTTAGAAGACTCAGGATCCTATGAATGTGTCATGCGGTAAGAATATGTTTTTTCCTGGGTTTGGTTTTTTACAAAAGCTACATTGCTGTAGATGTGAGCTTGAAAAAGAATAATTAAATATCTGAATTATTTTTCTGATATTAAGTCTGGGGTTAGCTTGTAGTTTTCCCTTCACAAACGCTTATGGTTCATATTAAAAACAGGGCTATTCATCTTGATTTACAGCAGAGCTGATTTTGATGAGGCTGTTACACTTTATTGGAAAAGAATCCCAAGTATATTCATCGCTGAGACGACTTCATGATTAGGGCTGGTCAGAAAATACTAATTATTTTCTATGGAAACTTTCAAACTAAAGGAGATTTTTTTTTTAATTTGAAATTTTTTTTAGAATTTTGATTTTTTTTTAAAAGAAAATTATTGGAAATAAAACATTTTCATTTCGATTGGAATTTAATGGAGTAAAGTTTGTTTCTTGTTAATAAAATATTTTATTTCACGTAGTTGAAAATCAGAAAATTCGCTGCAAAAAGTTGTAATGAAAAGCACTTTTCCTTGAAAAACTTTCAGATGAAACACTTTCAACCAGCCCTAGCCATGATATCATGAGGTTTGTGTCCATTCAGATATGATGATACAATACAATGGTGGCAAATCCTCAGCTGGTATTAATTGCTATACTTCCAATTACTTCAATGGAGCCATGACAAATTGCAACAGTGGAGGATCTGCCCCAGTGATTTCTCCCCCCCCCCCCCCAAGAGGTGTACCCCGGTCCTGCTGCCCAGCTTTAAAAACTCATGCCCATCCTAACCCGCTTCAGGCCTCCAGAAAACCACGTCCAGCCTTAATTTTCAGTTGTAATCCAGATGTAGCCATGGTCCCAGAAATCCCTCCCTGTTCTGGCCCTTGAAGAACTAAGAGCTGATCCAAATTGATGTATTCTTTCCCAGCTACAGCATTCTCCTGGGCCCCTGAAATTCAGTAATCATATTTGTTTCTTCAGCATAAGCCAGTTGTCTGGATACTGTTTGAAGGCCAGTAGTCAGGGTATGATGACGTTCATTCATGCACACGTATTTGCACATAGGAGGTTCATACCCCAGTTCGAACAGTGTTTGTTTGCTGTGAGTTTTCAGGGATTGGAGGAATTTTTGCTAATTTAAACACTACTAGCAAACAAATTCTCTCAGACTTTTAAAACAGTCAGTTCATGGACAGTCTGAAGTAATTAGGCAGACCCAAAGAAAAGGACTCTGAGAGCCAGGTTCTCTGGTATAGTGCAGCAGCTGGTCTTGCACCAGTAATGGACTCTGACCCCAAAACTTCTGGTCATAAAGCTGGCATAAGCAGCTCAGGGAAGATCACGCCAATGTAAGGACAATTTTCTGGTGATCTAAAGCCAGTGTAGTGGCTCTTAGATTATTACCTTTCCTTGCTGCCAGAATAGCTGAAGAGGAAGCATAGCTAGATGACCCTTACACCACACCAATGCTTTTATCTCCTTCTTTGCAGCCTTAAATTAGATCAGCTTGAAGGCTGCTGTAACTTGGAAGGGGGATTGGCGCGGCACACCAGATTTGGAGGAGTGCAACGGAAAGCTTTATGCCATGTGTGTGTACATGATGGTCTGCATTCTGTGCAGCTTAGTTGCCCCTCAGGATCTCTCTTAATTTGTTCATAGATACAAGTAACATTTTGTGCAATGTCATACCTGACCACGTCGTCTTCTCTCTTTTTGTAATCATATGGGTTTCATGGATTATGGAATGAATGAAGGAATTGATGCTAGGGAAAGTAGAGCTGGGGGAGGGGGGGTAGGAAATTCTTGTTACAGATAGTCAGTCTGATAGTCAGTCTGCTAGACAGCAATGGATTTGCTTCTGGGGGGAACTATGCTCCCAACTTTCCAGCCTGATGTTAAAGCTTCATTAGAAGTGGCCAAAGAGAAAGGGCAGCAGGTATGAAAAGGATATAAATAGGAAAAATTAGAAGTGTAATTCAGCTGCTTTGTTTTCATTACAGGAATTTAACAAGCTGCAAGAAAATATATTTCAGTGTAATCGTTTTCAAAAATACTGCTGGTTTGTGTTTTAATGGGGATTTTCTCTATGCTCAAGAGATATCAGCATCATCAAATGCAAAGATTGTGTGTCCTCATCTAGATTATTTCAGAGATGAGAAAAATACTTTACCCATTCACTGGTATAAGGTAGGGTGTGTCCCCTATTTCATTTTCAGCCACTGTTTTGTGTTTTAACTGATGTTTAGAATTGATAATGGAGGGTGGGGAGACAGAATAGCTCATATGATTTTTTTTTTCTGTGACACAGGATGTATATGTGAGGAGACTTGTATGTTGTGGTGTAATTACTATAATAAAGTATAGATAAGCGTGTCTATTTTAGCTGCCCACATGACACTCAAGGGGCCTATTGTTTTGAAGGTGATTTCATCTTCCCCTTCCCTCATATCGAACAAAGAAGGGGACCTTAACAAAAATATCCAACATGTATAGGCAGTTTCACGGTAGGGTGGCTGTGTTTTTGAAGAGGCTGGCCCGATGTAGCCAGACTTCAATGTGAGTTGAGGATGCTGAGCGCATTGTAGCACTGAGTTCTGTCTTGGTAGCCATATTCCCTTCATGCTTCAACCACCATTCCAGGGGACATGCATCCATGCTGATGATAGGTTCTGCTTGATAACCATCCAAAGCAGTGCGGCCCGACGCGTGTTCATTTTCATCCTCTGAGTCAGATGCCACCAGCAGAAGGTTGATTTTTCTTTTTTGATCGTTCGGGTTCTGTAGTTTCCTCATTGGAGTGTTGCTCTTTTAAGATTTCTGAAAGCATGTTCCACGCCTTGTCTCTGATTTTGGAAGGCACTTCAGATTCTTAAATCTTGGTTCGAGTGCTGTAGCTATCTTTAGAAATATCACATTGGTACCTTTTTTGCATTTTGTCAAATCTGCAGTGAAAGCGTTCTTAAAATGAACAACATGTGCTGGGTCATCATCCGAGACTGCTATAACATGAAATATGACAGAATGTGGGTAAAACAGAGCAGGAGACATACAGTTCTCCCCCCAAGGAGTTCAGTCACAAATTGAATTAATGCATTATTTATTTAATGAGCGTCATCAGCATAGAAGCATGTCCTTTGGAATGGTGGCCAAAACATGAAGGGGCATACGAATGTGTAGCGTATCTGGCATGTAAATACCTTGCAATGCTGGCTACAAAAGTGCCATGCAAATAAATGTCTGTTCTCACTTTCTGGTAACATTGTAAATAAGAAATGAAATGAAATGAATGGAGATATCCCATCTCCTAGAATTGGAAGGGACCTTGAAAGGTCATCGAGTCCAGCCCCCTGCCTTCATTAGCAGGACCAAGTACTGATTTTGCCCCAGATCCCCAAGTGGCCCCCTCAAGGATTGAACTCACAACCCTGGGTTTAGCAGGCCAGTGCTCAAACCACTGAGCTTTCCCTCCCCCTCCTCCCCCCCCCCCCAAAGAAGAGGGCAGCATTATCTCCTGTAAGTGTAAACAAACTTGTTTGTCTTAGCGATTGGCTGAACAAAAGTAGGACTGATTGGACTTGTGGGCTTTGAAGTTTTACCCCCCATTTGTTTTGTTTTTGAGTGCAGTTGAGTAACACAAAAAAATCTACATTTGTAAGTTGCACTTTCAAGATAGAGATCGCACTACAGTACTTGTATGAGGTGAATTGAAAAATACTATTTATTTTATCATTTTTTATGGTGCAAATATTTGTAATAATATTATAAAGTGACAACTGTACCCTTTGTATTCTGTGTTGTAATTGAAATCAATATATTTGAAAATGTAGAACAACATCCAAAAATATTAAACAATACAATACCAATTGAAATTTATTAAACAGTGCAATTAAAACTGCAATCAATCGTGATTAAATTTTTTAATCTCGATTCATTTTTGAGTTAATTGGGTGAGTTAATTGCGATTAATCGACAACCCTAGTTTTAACATAAGATTCATATTGAACCCAACTGGTGAAATTACCTTGCCACATTCCATGGGAGGGAATATTTGAATTTGATATTTTTTTTAGTACTGTATTCTTATTCTCTGTGATTTAACAGAGCACTTTTTGTTGTGTTTAGGAATGTAATCTGATTGACAATGAAAGATTTCTAAATCGGGATGATGATCTCATAATAAATAGTGCAAATGTAAATGATTCAGGAAATTACTCATGCAAGATGACATATAATTATATGGAAAAAGAATATAACATTTCACGAAACATTTATGTAACTGTTATAGGTAAGTCTCGTTTTTATTCTTCGGTGCATTTGTAGAGTTCAATGTTACTTTTTTTTCAAATCCAGAAGTTTCAGTCAATTCATTGGTTAGTGTGGATTCAAAGGAATGCCAAATCGGACAACTAAGATATCGTTTTAGTAATTCTTTTATAACTTTAAACTTAAGGGAGAGCCAGAAGACTGAAAAACACTATTAATATTATTTTGGTTTGTTAGTATTACAGTAAAATAAATAGAGATTCCAGTCAGGATTTGGGGTCCCATTGTGCTAGGAGCTATACAAACACACAGGAAAACACTGGCCTTGTCTGGATTAGTTTACAATATAAAGGCCTGTTCTAAACTGGGGATGGATGTACTGGTGTAACAGCACTAGTACTAAATATTGAAGCAAACTCCAGGGGAAATGCATTTCCCTGGTGTAAAATGAGGCTTGCACTAGTGTGGCTTACCATGATTTGAAACTGGGAGCATTTGTATTGGTGCCACAGCACTAATGCAAACCCCCCAGCGCAAGCTCTGTTTTACACTGGTACAATACATCTACACTGGGGGCTTGCGTCAGTGCAGCTGCACCAGTACAAATACTCTCAACATAGACAGGTCCTGATTTTAAGACAGGATGTGACAGTTGTGTTTAAGAAACAATTAGAGGAAGGAAAATTCTCAGCGATAAGATCTGGTGGTCTAACTACTGCTCAATTTGGTTGGCTAACTAATCCCCAGCTGAGGAGAGGAAAAGACTCTAAAGCCACCTTCCCACTCCCTTGATTCTGGTGATAAAATAGCCCCTGTCCCAGGTGACCACTCTACCATATACTCTGGCCCCACCCTTCCCTTACCCAGGTGCTGCCCGCACACAGTAAAGTTGGAGTGCATGGTGCAGAGTTAGCTTTGCCAGTTTTATGCCAGGGCAATTTCTAGCTTCTCTTGAAGAGCAGATTTTGGGCTGCCTTGGCCCTCAGAGCAGCACAAATGACAGCAGCTGAAGATCTGGCCAGATGAGTTAGATTCATTTTTCTGTATGATCCCCTTTTCCTACTTCGCTGATTTGTGTTTTTATTTCTCACCTTCTTAAAAATAAATACATATTTATTTTTGTTCTTAAAACCTATTTTTGTAGCCATTACCTTTCCACATTCTTAAAGTATTCACTTCACTTGCAAGTTTTTCTAATAGTATTTTAAACTGCTGCTTTCTCCAGTGTTTTTGTGAGGTTATTTTTAATAATCACTGCCTTTGTTTATTTACCCCTACTTTTTTGAAGCTACTGCCTTTACTTATTTTATAGATTAATTTAAATAAAAAACCACAGTCAAAGTAAACTCATCCCATTAATTGGCTACTTCTCGTCCACTGCCCCTGGAAGGAGGCGCTGGGACAGGCCGAGCACCAGCCACAGGTAGGTTTGGGGGCCTGCAGCTGGGGAAGACACATCCCAGCCCTTCCTACCCTGGCTGCAAACCTTCCTGCGGCTGGGGCTTTCCACAAAAACTGTTTTCAGTAGTGGGTGTGCCTGTTGCCAGTATACAAACCAATTTACAAAATGTTTCTGCTAACCAAAAGTGGTTGTTCTCCAGGTTGTTACTAAGCAGTATCTACTGTACTGTTATTCACACCTGGAGCATTATAGCCATAATTGTAATGCTAAAGTGAATTATAATTAACTAATCCTTTGTGGAGCCACTGTGGTCCAGGAGCTCTAGCACTGGATTGGGTCTTCAGAGACCTGGGTTCTAATCATGGCACTGCATGGCTTGGGGCAAGTTGCTTCACTTCTTCTGTTCCTCTCTTTTTCCTCCTGCCCTATGCCTGTCTTGTCTGCTTAGATCATAAAGTCTTTAGGGGAAAGGACTGTCTCTTACTATGTGTCTGTACAGTGTCTGGCATGCTGGGGCCTGTAGGAATAAGAAATGGGATAGCGTGACAGGGTATAAAGATTTTATTAGCATAAGTTTGGGTTGACCCTGTCACCCATCACAAATTAAGCACAACTATTTAACAAGGAAACTGTACTGATTTTTCTACAAAACTAATATTGTTAAGGTATTTGCAAGTATTTCTGGTACTTAACTTGATGTAGTTTTTTTTTTTGTTTTGTTTTTGTTTTTGTCTGGATTAAGTAGGAAACTGTTATCCTGGTCACTACAAATAGGGATGGAGCAGGGAGAGTGAATGGTTGTTTCAGAGTAGTAGCCGTGTTAGTCTGTATCCGCAAAAAGAACAGGAGTACTTGTGGCACCTTAGAGACTAACAAATTTATTAGAGCATAAGCTTTCGTGGACTACAGCCCACTTCTTCGGATGCATATAGAGTGGAAATGGTTGTTGATATTTTGGAATACTGTAACTGTTAATGTGTTTTACCTCTTCCCCTACTTTTCTCGGTCGGTTTGTTGGTTTTTATGGAAGTTCTTCAGAAAGAAAAGAACAAGCAAATGCAAAACAAACATATAGAAAAATACTTTTTGAAAAGGTTTGAGGTTCTTTTCATTGCAAAGGAACAGTAAGGGCTTCAGGCAAAAGTTTTGTGTTCTTGTTTTGCAGTTCATCTATAAACTACTCCTGCCTGTTAGTGATATTTCTAAACTAGAGCTGTACTAAATGTCCTTGCCATTACTTGTGATTATTTCTGATAAAATTTTGTATTTATGCATATATTTTTTTTAATTTTTAGAGACCCCACTGAAGAAGAGAACTGAAATTCTTTATCCAAGAAACAATACAATTGAAGTGGAACTTGGTAAGAAATGGGCTCATAGCACATTATAAAAATTGAGAGTATTTTGTCTCATTGTCAATCCATAACCCCTTTATTATGGTCCTCAGATTTTTGAGTCTGGGAAACTTTTCCTGTATTTTCCCAAACCTCCACTGAACTTCCATTTATATTATTTTTATTTTTTTAAAAGGGGGTTGGGGGAGATCTTCATCTATCTGTCAATCTTGTTGGGATTGCTAAAAAGGCTGAGGCTCTGGCTGGGCTCCGTACATGGCTGATGTAGCAGCTGCAAAGTGGTCTACTTGATATCTTTTGACCATCCTATATAAATATTGAGTAACTTGCAGTGAGGAGGATAAAGTGGAGGTTCAGAAAAGGGCAATGAGAACAATTAGGGATGTGGAAAAAATCTTAATGAAGCAAGATTGAATAGATTTGGATTGTTTACCTTAGAAAGGAGGTGTACAAGAAGGGACATGATAGACGTCCTCCCCACAAACAAACCCCACCCTGCTCCAAGCAGAGTTTTGATTCCCAGGGTACGTCTACACTACCCACCAGATCGGTGGGTAGCGATTGATCTATAGGGGATCGATTTATCGTGCGTAGTGTAGATGCGATAAATCGATCCCCGATCGCTCTCCCGTCGACTGCTGAACTCCAGCTCGGCAAGAGGCGGAAGCAAAGTCGACAGGAGAGCCGCGACCATCGATCCTGCACCGCGAGGACACGAAGTAAGTAATTCTAAGTCGATCTAAGATACGTCGACTTTAGCTACGCTATTCTCGTAGCTGAAATTGCGTATCTTAGATCGATTTCTGCCCCTCCCCCCCAGTGTAGACCAGGCCCCAAAAGGGAAAAGTGCCAGAGTGTGCATGGTCTGCTTGGGACTGTGCTACTGCTATTGACTTCATGTGGAAGATGTTCAGATGCCATGTGGACGGGCAGCAATAGATAAATAAAAGAATATACAATAATAAATTGTATCGAAGGTAGGAGCTTCTGCCCTTCTTGTCTCCTAACACAATGAGAAGTCTTTTGATTAAAGTAAAAAGGTGGCAGATGCGGAACTAAGTACTTTTTGCACAACATGTAATTAGATTGTAGAACTTGCTGTGACAGGAAGTCTCTGAGCCCAAAACTTAGCAAGGTTCAAAAACTGTTTTGGATGTTGATAGAGATAAGAATAGCCACACTTTTTATAATTAATGATACGATTTATTTTGGACAGGATATTAAACCCCATGCTTCAGGGCTTTAGCCCATATCTAACTATCTGATCCAGTGTGGCAAATCCTATGTTCTTAAATACTTTCTAATGAATTGCGGTGGGGGATCTATGTCCCTTCCCCAAATGCCAGGGGCTCCCACCCTAATTGTGTCTCATTTTTCACCTTCCAAGGCTTGCCTTTAAAAGGGACTTGAAAAGGGGGCTGGGAAGAAAGAATAAGTGATTTTGCTGCTTTGAGATGTCTAAACAAAACCTGGCATGTGTTTTCAAATTTTAAAATAAAAACTTGCTAGAAGCTGGGACTGGACTTGTTCTGTTCTCTCCCTCTGAAGCATCTGGTGCTGGCCGCTTTTGGAAGACAGGATACTGGATTAGATGGACCATAGGTCTGATCCATTATGGCCATTCTTATGTTCTTAACCAAACCTGCATTTGTGTATCTTTTTAGACTGTCCAGTCTTTCCTGTCCTTGTGTGTGTGGGAGGAGGCGGGGTGTGGGGAGGGGGAGAATAGGAAGGAACAGAATGGGATTTGGAATGGGATTCGCTTCCAGACTGAGATGTGCATTGTGATCTTTCTCAGCCCTTAAGTGAAGAACTGGGGAATGTCAAAGCTTTAACAGATTTTTTTTCCCCATTAGATCTTCAAATCTTTATAGGATGTTTTACCTAAATAGATGTTAACAAAAGCAAACATAAGAGTTTTAAACAGCCTGGATAAATGCCACTCCTTTCGGGCCCTGATCCTACAAACACTTATTCACATGAGTAACTTCACACACATGTTTACTGGATTGGGCCTTAATCAGATTTCCCTTGCTTGGTATTTGGAATATCGCAATTCTACCAGCTTTCCGATTATTGGTAGAGTCTCTCAGGGAAAAGAAAGCAGGCAAGATGTGAATTTCTAATGTTAAAAAAAAAAGGCGGGGGGAACCCTTAAATCCTCACTTCATGTCACCTTTGTCTGTTGAAAAGAAACAACAAAGGCACAAATCTGTGTTTTCCTTTGTGGGTCACCTTTAAGCCTAGAAATGGGAAAAACAGAAATATTTACCATAAATAAAATCATGCAAAAATTGTATAATTAACAAGAAAAAATTCACTGCTTTTGTCACTTCATATCCTGTATGCTGTTTGGCTTATGAATTCTTTGGGGCAAAACCCTTTACTCCTGAGGCAATTGTGCTCCACTGTGCATGTGCAGAGTTCATGTCCACTGCAGAGTTTATTTCCCACAGAAAATACATTCTGCCCAAAAAGTTCTGCAGTTCTGCCTTTTGCCCACAAGAGGCCATTGTGGAACCAGAACAGCTGGATGACTGGCATTAACATCTAGCAGTCAGCTGCGTTCATTACAGCAGCCTGCGGGTGGAGCTAGAGTGGGGCACATGGAGTTTCTGGGGGGGGGTCACGGGCTGGGGTCCAGAAGAGCTAATGGAGAACGCAGGCTGGGATGTGGGCTCAGGAGCTAGTGGAGTGACGGCATTGAGCCAGGGGCTGAATGGGAGGGGGCTCCAGGGCCATATGATGGGAGGGTAGGAGGGTCTGGAGCTATATGGGGACGGGGGCTAGGGTGACCAGACGTCCCGATTTTATCGGGACTGTCCCGATATTTGCTTCTTTGTCCCGCGTCTCGACCAATGGACAAAAAATTTGCTTCTTTGCCCACACTGGACAAAAAAGAAATTTTGCCCTCCGCTCTGGCGCTTGCACTTCCCCCCTCCGGCTCCACCCTCTCCTTCCCCCATTGGCTCCCTCCCTAAATCCCTGCCCTGGCCCCGCCTCTTCCCCAACCATGCAGCATTCCTCCTCCCTCCCGGGCTTGCAGCATGGCGGGGCAAGCCTGGAGGGAGTGGGTGGCAGCGGTGCCTGGAGCTGGTGAGTCAGCTCCGGCACCTGGGCACCGGGCGGGTGGGCAAAGGGGAGCTGGCAAGGGAGGGAGACGGGGGGCTCAGGTGTGAGCCCCCTGCCACGCCAGAGGGCTTCTGCCCGGGTCGCTGCACCCAGGGCCGGGAGCGCAGCCTGGAGGCTGCTCCAGCCCTGCAGCCCGCGGGGCAGCGCGGTGGGTCCGGTCGGGGCAGCGTGGAGCGGAAAGGGGCCAGGGGGGTGGCGCGGGCCGAATCCCTGCTACTGCCAGGGAGCCCCGCGCCTCTCCCTCCTGCTCACG